TTAGCCAGCTCACTGGACGTAAACAGAGCATCAAGCGAACGGTGTAGCGCCTACAGAATTTTCATTGCAAACAATTACAGTTGTGTGAATTGCAATCTTAAAAGTTTTATGTGTTTTTATTTAGACTGCCTGTAAGCAAACTAGCAACAGTCTCGTCCAGGGCCGTCTTCGACTACGCTGGGACCCTTGGAATGTTTCCAACCCTTGTGGAATGTTTCCTTTTTTTGACGTTGCCCCACACTAGGACATAGGACTTTCTCCTAGGTGCATTTAGAAACACAAGTTCACATACACATGACACTTAGACCCGAAACGACACGTTGTGAATTGTGGATCACACAAAGATTTGCTTCGTGCGGGAATCGAACCCGCTACACGTTGCGAGACAGCTGGTTACCACACAACGTGTAGCGAGTTACATGATATGATAACTGGTTATACACAGGTTGATGTGTAGATACACATCAACCTGTGTATTGTAAATGCATGAACCAGTCGATAAGTTTTTTATGGGACAAGCCCGCCACAACCTTCCAAAACCGTCGCAACTCCTGTAAGCCAGGATCTACAGTAGATACAACCATGAAAACCGGAACACTGAAGTCCGGCACGTCTCAGGGACATGAATAACTGTCTTGGTTCCCGCAACGAAGTGAATTAGAAGATATTATAAGAGGAGCAGTAAAAAAAACGATAGTTTGCACTTTCCTCGGTGAGTTACTGCATTAGACAGAATAAATTAAGCCTAAAGGCACAGAAAAGAGACTGTACAACTGGGTTATACCCAGTCGCCAAGCAATGTGTGAGCTGTTATATTTGCTTCCAATAATAGATATGGCAAAAGAAGCCAAACACACGGAAATTTATTCTAGATTCCATAAGGTCTGTATAATAAGCTGCACCGGACGAAACAATTAAATTATTTAACATAGTGTTATGTTCATATTGCCAGAGTTAATTAACATAATTAATTGTATGAACTTTATACCTATTCGTGCAGGATTTTTAAAAAACAATTAATAATTGCCTGTTTACGGTTTTCCCGGATAATCACAGTTAAAATCATTGTATTAATAAATGAATGGCGAATATTGCGGCCGTTGTCATGGTAACCGTTAAAGGGGATATTGGCCTTCAATTTGTTATCTGTTTCTTTTTTCCTATTTTTCTTTGAGATATATTCTATATAAATAGATTATACTATTTCGTCTAATGGTCAGAAACAAAACTCTAAGGAGATTCTAAATTTAATTCTCATATTTGTATGATTTATTTTCTGTTAGAGCACAGAATTGTAACCGATAATGCCTATCAGACGTTCCGGTTGTCGGGTATCCGGCGCCGGCTACCCGGTGGCATAGAGTAAGGCCGTGTACTGTAGCTTTTACACGTACCGGGGCGTAATTTGCATATCCTGCACCGCTGGATACCCGGTACCGGCTACCCGGCAACCAGAACGTGTCGAAAGCACATATTAACTAAAAATAAAAACCTCTATACACATCGATACATATATAAACTACAAGCTGACCCGGCGAACTTCGTACCGCCAAAAGTCTTTTCTCACCATTTAAACCTTCCCTGGACTTCCACGAAAATTTTAAGCCTAAAATTAGCCAAATCGGTTCAGCCGTTCTGGAGTTTTAGTGAGACTAACGAACGGAAATTCATTTTTATTTATATAGATTACCTGTCTATTTAAATACCTTTTAATAAATCCTTATTAATAACCAGTATTTTTATGACCGGTTCGTATTACGAAGTGTTTCTAAGTATGTAATTCTACCTCCAGGTACTGGAGTGTGGTTGGACGATCTAACCAAGTGGTTTAATCACCAAGCAGTGACTCAAGTGTCCCAGAATACAACGTCGTACTGGCATTGGATGAAGGACCTATTCATATATCATTATTATAGTAGTTGAGATCAGAAAAGAAACAATAAAGAAAATATTTTGTTAACTAAATAATTGAATGTAATTATATTATAAGGTTACCGGAGGCCCAATTACCCTTCCCCTCCCCAATCACCCCAATTCCTGAATCCCCAACGATCCTCAAACTTCTAATCCCCAAAAGTCCGGTAACGCACTTGTAACGCCTCTGGTGTTCCAGGTGTCCATGGGCGACGACGATTGCTTACCATCAGGTGATACGTCTGCTCGTTTACCGGCTTATGCCATACTAAAAAATTTAAACCTAATTAACCTAATGTCATATAGGTAGGTAGTACATGCAAGTAGGATCTGCTAGAAATTTTATTCCCAATCTTTTTAAGTGGCATATTTTTCTTATTATCGGTTAGCCTACGGCCTTCGCCCTTAGCTGGTTTTATTTGCTGTCTGGAATAACCTGTATACCTATTCTATGTAATTATATACGTATGTAGGTACAATGACGTAATCTTGCCCACGCGCATTATTAGCTTCGTTGGCTGTCCCAGACAATTTTAATGAACATTTTTGAATCCTCGCAACCAGTTTTTAAAATATGTATACAATTATTAGGTAGGTACTATATGCAGGTCTGTATAAAAATAGCCTGTGAGATCTGCATGACTTTTATTTGAAGCTAATATTATTGGTTGTGGTGGTAATGGATTTTTTATGGCGTAAGCCGGTAAACGAGCAGACGCCCATGGACACCTGAAATACCAAGGCGTTAGAAATGCGTTACTGGCCTTTTGAGAATTTGAGGATTGTGGACGATTCGGGGATTGGGGAGACTGGGAAGGGGGGTAATTGAGCCTCCGGTAACACAACGGAAGCGTTGTTTCACGCAGTTTTGAGCACGCAAGTGTATTTTGAGCAAAGTCTTTTTATTCTGATTTGTGATTTATCAAAAAAGCTAAATAAGTAAAACAAGCAAGGGACGCTAAGTGAGTGAGATTAAGGAATGAGGACCATTACATCTGTCTACTCAGCCAACTAAAAAAAAATTGGGTATTTTTTATCATAATAATATGGACACTTCTGCTTACTTATCTTCGAGATATGAATAAGAAAATGTTATGAATACTTTGATATGTCTTTATTATACCTACACGGTTTTAAAAGCATGCCACGTTCCATTCAGTTTGTTGGCAAACCGCTGAATTTTGATGATTAGAAAGGTACACAGAGGACAACTTAAGAATGATAATGAAAGACGATATGCACAACCTTCATGGTGACATAGCCACATAGGGCAGCAATAAGAAAAAGGATTGAGGAATATTATGTTCTTATTGAAGTGTAATGGTTTTCAGGTTGTTGATGACTATCATCATCCATTGCTAGATAAAAAGCCTCCCCCTTAGTCCTCCAAGCCAAACGACAGCTCGACATCTCCATCCACTGGTTTAACAGTTATTCAGGCTAAATTCTCTAATTAAGCTTAAACGAAATTAAAATATCTACATAGACTGTCATGTTGTTTTGCAAAGACCATTGATTCAGAGCCTTATGACTTTTGTTCTTAGTTCTCATAATTTATTGACTACAAATTGAATAATGGGAAATTTTAATGAATGTTCATTATTTAAGTAAATTTTCGTAAACACAGTGAAGTCATTGACGTCAGATACTTCTGAAAATTATTGTTCTGTCATCCCGCGCATAGGGATCAGGCCAATGTAAATTATTATTGTATAAAATATAATGTTATTATACAAAATATAAAATAACAGTAACAGTATATCGAGAAACAGTCAATAAAAATAATATGTCAATATTTATAGACACTTTATAATAAAAATTCATCTAACAACCTTGGCTGCTGATATTTCTTATATCTTGGGACTATGCTAACAGTTCCTATCTATCGAAAAAAAATCAGGTAGGGATCGCAGTATGCAGATATGATCATCCATTGCATCTTCTGGTTATTGGTGTTTTTTTTTTTTTAAGGGGGAAAATCATCGAATGAACCAGTACAGTCATAATACAAATAAATAATATCGAATGCTCAGCTTATGTTTACAAGAAGTCAAGTGCCTGTGCCCTAAATATCAAATTTAATCGTAATGTTTAGTCATCAAATATTTCATGAAATGGCGACTAACTTACGTTGGTATTTGCATAGCTTACAACAAAATTATGATGAATCGGTAGTCGGTACAGGCGGTACTATTGTACGAAACAGGAAAATATTATCAATCAGATCAGCTACCTGTAATTTTTAACTTCTGAAATTACTTCACAATATACAGATTATAAGTGACCACTGCTATCCAAAGGCCTCTTCTCACACAGAAATGGTTTGAGCATTATTCAGCACGATTGCTCAATTTTGATTAACAATTACAAACTTATAATTGGATTATACAGTAAACTCTCAGAAATTACTGGTTTAATGTTTTCATATTCTTCATATTATTATAGACAAGTACAAGGCAAGTACCTTATCATAACCTTGGATGGAAATTGAAATTCAAAACGCGTTATTAGTACGTTGCATCGTTGCCTACGCGCACAGCAACATGTACTACCAGTTACGAAGTAATTGAGCGTGTTTCCCATATCATAGTCCATGCCATATAAATATACCTCATCTGTAGTCTATACGTAGTTATTAAATAACAATTTTAGCTTAACACAGCATTTTTTTACACAGTATCATCACTCACCACTTGGATTAATATCTTAGGTAAAATATCATCGAGTCCAATTTACTTTAATTTGAAAATAAACTCAATTTTCTAACTTTTGTCTAGATTTGCTTTTGATCAGAATTTACATCGATTCATAAAGAAAACGAACACCGCGACTGTCATTTTGCAGCAGATTTTGACTGATAAATTGTGTTTCTAATATTATTATGCTTTTTTTGAGTTTCGACTTATACTACGTAGGCATAATTTGGAATTGTATTATTTTTTATGGAATAAGCCGGTAAACGAGCAGACAGATCACCTGATGTTAAGTATTCGACGACCACCACAGGCATGACCGGCGTTTTGGGGATTAGAAATTTGAAGATTGTTGGGGATTCAGGGATAGAGGAGATTAGGGAACCTCACTCATACGACGAAACACAATACAAGCGTTTTTTTACGTCGGTTCTCTATATGACTGTGGTATCACATTTTCAAATAGTACAACGGGTGCTAACTACTCAATTACTTGCCTTTCGGTACTAATGAAGGAAGAAAAAAGAAGGTATACCGAGGGATCAACCACTTTTAAAATGTATAAACAGAAATTGTGATGAGGAAAAGTGGAGATGACTCAATGGTAACGAAAACAAGTGGTAACAGGTACGAACCATGTTATATAGGTACCTTAAATGCAGGGACAGGTAATAGTCACAAATAAACTTGCGCACGCAAACATCGTTCGTACCGATGGGAACTCCAAAGATGCAGACGATAATAGTGTTTATTGTGTTCACAATAATAACTCAAACTGTATCACAATGTGACGAAGAATATAGTGTAGAATTAAAAAACCGGATGTATAAAGGTGTTAAATATGGACCAGATGAAATAATAGTGGATAATGTGACTAAAGTGGAAAGGGGATGTGTGTGTTTGAAGGAAGCATGCGCAAAAAAGTGCTGTCCCTTAGGCCAAGCGTATAACAGACAGCTGAAGATATGTGTCGACATTTCAGAACCATTCAATCCTCCAGTGTATAGAGATTATCAGTTGTTACCAAGATACAATGCAACAAAGGAGTTACACTTTTTCTATGGAAAAATGAATTGTTCAAATAACCTCACAGGAGCCGACGACCCGAGGCTTCCAGTAGATTATCCTAATAATTTTCATTTAAGAACGGTGAGAATTTTATATTTTGTTTGACATATTATCTTCTGCACATAGCATTACCTGCGTAGTGTGTAGGGTAAAATAGCTTATGTCCTTCTCTAAGCTTGTCACTACTCGTGTCATATAATATATCTATGCATATATTTTTTTTTTTGTGAGTCTAAACAGTAATTGGTTTACTTTTACCATGTACCAAGCTCCAAAAGCTTATCGTACTATCCGTTTCTATATATCACTAGAGATGGTCCCAAGATACACCCTTGTGGTACACCTGATTATTCACAATTTGTTTTGACGTCAGTGCAGTTAGGTGATATATTTTGATGGTATTCGTATTTAATTATTTCGAACAATGTCATCACTAGAACGGAGCGAAAATAAATATTTATTTCATCATCATCAACCCGTGTTCGTCCACTGCTGGATATAGACCTCTCCAAAAATTGTTATTATTATTATTTATTTATTGAATAGAATAATAAGAGATGTAGATTATTGTTTAAGAATTCAGACAGGTTATGGCAAGGAGAAGGTCTTTGCATAATAATATATTATTTAATTCTTCTCTGTACGCGCAACAGCAAATAGTTTGTGTAAAAACATATTACTTATTAGCTGACCCGGGTAAATTCGTAGTCTAAAACATTTTTCCTCATCTTTTAAACTTGCCCTGGACTTCCACAAATCATTAAAACCAAAATTTGCCAAATCGGTTCAGTCGTACCACATAAATTGTTTACTACAAATTTGTTCATTGATAACAAGACATTGATACATTAAAGACGAAGTCAGGACGGCACCTAGAACGTCATATCACTAGTAACGATGACAAATTGCCGTAAACAAGATACCTACTTAGTGTCAATTATGCGAGTAAAGAAATATTTCATTGACGCTTATTTTTTTTACTAATAATTTCCGACTTGCACTACAAAGGCTGTAAAATAGATTTTATAGTTTATTAAAATACAAAAACAGCAGGTACATAGGGACTAATTGACTCGCATTGCAATATTGTTCTGTGATAATAATATCCTTGGGAGTTTAGCCAATTATTTATTTAGGTATATATTGACTTCTTTTTGTAACGGTAACGGAAAAACCAATCAATTAGACTATTAATAAGAATCGATGATTAGGTATAATATGATATTTTAATTACCCACAATGACTTCATTGGACTGTGTCATCTGTGGCTATGATCCGTCATCTGTGACAATCAAGGCTGTTGCCAAATTAAACAAAAACACTAAAACCAATAAAATTAATCTTTTTAAGAACAGAGATAATAAGGAAAACTTTTTTAAAATGTACTTTGAAATTTACTGTGAATTCGACTATTATCAATGTTAGTTTTATTTTTGTTATTGTAATAAATATTAAATTTAGACGACAGAAAATAGTATTTTAAATACCCATGAATGAAGTCAAAGTCAAAATCATTTATTTGAATTAGACCAGGATTGCACCTTTGAACGTCAACAACAATCATTTTGAAGTAAAGCTAGTTGCTCATTCCAAGGTGTGGATTCCTATGGAGAAGATCGAGCAAGAAACTCCATAGGTTATTTTTTTAATCGGGTTAAAATACAATTCTCTAGCTACATAGTTTTATTGGTTCGATTGTGTGAGAACAATGCAACACCTAAATCTAGTCAAAGAGATTGAAAAAGAAAATAATCTTGAGAACCAAATAAAATTAAATCATACAGTCTGGAGCTGACCAGTCCCAATTGACGGCGCCCGTTCACAAACATGATACGTACCCCAGCACCACTAGACTACTAATACTGATCTTAAACGAAAATGACATTTACTTCAAACCTTCCGTACTATTTTGATTCTCCACTAGACAATTATTACATTTTTAAGTGAACTTCCCTTTAAGTAGGAAATTCAATTTTATATGCTTTGTTGATGACGATGATGGTCCTGTTTGTTCATTATTGAGATCAAAGAGTGCTTGTTCTCCCAACCTATCTATATCAAATGTGCAATGCCTTAGTAAGTATTCTGAAATTCTGAATAAAACTTCTTATCCAAACTTCTACAACATAACATCATCATGTTGTAGAAGTCTTCTTATCCAAACTTCTAATCTTATACTTTTAATAATTATGACTTATATTTACGTCCACGACTTCGTTCACGTGGAAAAGTGACTTTGGACAGTTTTTTACAGCTGTTGGTAGATAGCATGATAATACCTAGTCTATATGTTGAGCCGATCTTTTAGTAATATTCATGCAAAACCTAAAATAAATCTATGCAGTACTTTTTTAATTTAGCCTAGACACAAAACGGCTTCGTCCGCGTTCTCGAAGGATATAAAAAATAGTCTATGTCTTATTCCAGTCACGTAATTTAGCCCTGCTCCTTTCATCCCTATCCCTTCAGCCGTTTTGACGTGAAGGAGTAACTAAGGAGTTTTAAGTGTGGGAGAGCCATGCTACGGCACGAATGGGTCGGCTCGACCGGAGTGATACCACGGCCTCACAAAAAACCGACGGGAAACAACGCTTGCGTTGTGTTTCGTCGTGTGAGTGAGGTTACCGGAGGCCCAGTTATCCCCCTCCCTAGTCTCCCGAATCCCCGAATCCTCCACAATCCTCAAATTCCCAATTCCCAAAAGGCCGGTAACGCACTTGCAACGCCTTGGTGTTGCGGGTGTCCATGTGCGGCGCCGATTGCTTACCATCAGGTGATCCGTCTGCTCGTTTACCGGCTTATGCTATAAAAAAGGAGTAAAGAAGTAGGATTTGTGACAAGTCAATCATGTTCTAATTATATTATCTTTGGACCCAAAATGTTAATTAATTTTACCAATATGCAATTTCCAACAACCCAAAATAGCAAGGGGTCTGGCTTATATCTGGTGTACTGCAAGAGATTTATAGTGCAAACACACGTTCCCCGTGTGTATTGTCTGGTGTTAGTATTGTTGTTTTAGGGTCGGTACGACTTTTCGCGTCCACCCACCAGGTCAGGTCCACGTCACGGAACGTCTCTTCCAAAAAAAATTCCTTAGTATTTGGTACACCTCATTAGCCGAGTGCTCGCGAGTTCGACTGCCGGGCAAGGGGTCTGGGGTTCGATTCCCGGGTCGGGCAAGTATTACTGGTATTTAAAAAAGTCTCAGTAGTAGCACGTAGTCTGGAATTGTACCCGGTATATGGAAATAGGCTCACCTCTATTACATGCGACATAAAATAGTGAAAAGTGGGTGTTACTTTGTACAATTTCATTGAGTGCCGTATGTGCACGTCTGCCTACCCCTCCGGGGATAAAAGGCTTGAAGTTATGTATGTTTGTTAGTACATCTGTTTGACCTTTCACGTTTTAAATATCTTACATTCATGCAATCCATAAAATGGACGTAAACAAACTTAATTACCACGTCATGATTATCATAACATAAACATACAATATGACTCATGTTATTAGGTATTTCCAAAAAAATTAACGAAGACACTTATTTAACATATTTTTTCGAATGTTGCCTATCCAATGGTGAAGGATTGTTTCAAATTGGTCCTGTAGATTTCAAAACATTATCTTTCCTGTTCATAATATTATCTATAGTGAAGATATAGAGGTATACTTCTATGGTCACATCCACTGTCACATCACATTAACAGCCTGTAATGCCCACTGAAGAGCAAAACCTTATTTCACATGGAGAAGGTTGGAGCATTAATCACCACGCTTGCTCATTGCGGGTTGGCGATTTTAAACTTATAATTAGAAATTATAAGCCCAGATTTCTTCACAATGTTTTCCTTCACCTTTTGTCAATGGTGTCTGAATAGTCTTAGAAAGTAAATGTCACTTAGAAAAAGTCACATTAGTATTTGTCGTTGGTAGGTTTCGAAACCGCGACCTCATGCGAACGTCTTAAACTTTCTGGCCACCACGACCATGTTTGGTCGCTTTTTAGGAACTCCTGGTTTTCATTAATTAAACATCATTAGATACAGAAAAGAGGATTCATATTTGGGAATTGTTTGTGTAATTTAATATAAGTAGGTTGTTTACAGCTGTAATTGGACTTCAGGTTCATTATTTCTGTTTAAGATTGTTGTACAGTCCTAAAATAATTGACGTACATATTTTGTTTCTATAAATACCGATACACATAACACATCACGCCTTTTATCCCCGAAGGGGTAGGCAGAGGTGCACACAGATGTTTTCACTATTTATGTTATGAGACCCATGTAATAGGGGGTGAGCCAATAGGCTAGGGAGTCTGGACTCCGTGCTACTACTGACATTTTTTAAACCCAGTAATACTTTGCCCGACCCGGGAATCGAACCCGAGACCCCTTGCCCGGCTGTCGCACTTGCGACCACTTGGCCAACGAGGCAGCAAATACCGATACAACATAATAAATTAGTAAGTGCAATTACTGCTACATGGTGACTAACATTAGAGAAAGGAATCGTCAACAGTTCTATTGTAAACACAATGGAACGTTCTAAATCTAACTATGTTTTTTTTTTGGCATAAGCCGGTAAACGGGCAGACGGATCACCTGACGGTAAGCAATCGGCGTCGCTCATGGACACCTGGAACACCAGAGGCATTA